TCAGGCGTATTTAGGACCGACATCACTTCTGATAGATGCTGAGAGCGCAAGATGGAGAGAGAGTTCAGCTGCAGTTACACACACACAATTTACACACACTGGGACTTTTAATGGGGAGAATGGAAGTATTAAGGAAAAGCAGGAGTGTGAGGGGAGGGAAGGGACGAACTGCACAGAGAGGGCAAGTGCAAGCATACGGTGTACCTGCGGGGGGTGGGGGGTTATATCTGCTCTGCAATCATAGGCCCAGTGCTGCCACCTGCAGGCCAAGCAAGGAATCACAACTTCCTAGCATGGTGAAGAGGCTTGAAGGAGGGGCTTTCTCTGTGGTGTGTGGGTATAACAGATACGTGCAAGGCCTATTCAAGGACTGCCTAAGTTCCTCCCATGCTCTTTATTGATGGCCCTTGCTTTACCGAAGGTGGGTATGCATTCCAGTGATGTCTGCTGTGCCAAGATCAACCAGGCAGCCGCAGGATTATCTGGACACCCCTGTGAGTGTCCAGTCAGTTCTCACGCCTAATGTTGGGTCTCAATTATTGGTGCAACATGTACAGGTGCATTATGGGACATGTGGTACGTTAGATATACCGGAGACATCTCTGTGGTGGTTCTAGGTGGAAGGAACCACAATGCAGCTTGATGAAAATGGGGTATCTTCCCGCAGCAGATGCAGGAAGCTGCATGGCTGTCAAGCTTCAGAGGTCCGTGTGACAACGATACTCCCCCCGCTCCCCCCCCTCTGCCAGCTGGCTGCAGCACATGGCTAACAATGCCCACTGCCGTCCGTGAATCTGATGTAAATATGAAAAGCCGATCAAGTGAACGACTGGCAGCCAGCTGAGGTCAGACAGGATCTTGGTGCTGAGTAATAATATTACTAATAATCCTGCTGCTCATTTGATATTTTAACTGAATATTTCACCCATATTTATATACAGCTCTGGAAAAACTAAGAGATCACTCTATATTTTTAAAAACAATCTACATCCTTAAATCCTGGTTTAATCCTGGTTCTGCTGGCAGAAGGCTACACTGTGAGACAGGCTGCTTCCGGGATGTTTCTAAGACTGCAGTACACAAGAACCAGGTGAAGCAGGAGACACTGGGAACGACCAGAATCCAGCCAGGTAGAGGGCGGAAGCGACTTTCTAATGCCAGAGATGACCGTCAACTTATCTGGCAGTGTCTCATAAATCGGAGGATGACCTCAAATGACCTTCAGAAGGAATGGGAAACATTAAGTGCTGGTGTGAAGTGCACTGCTAGGACAGTTCGTATCAGGCTCCTAGAAGCAGGACTGAAGACCCATAAAGCAAGGAAGAAGCCCTTCATTAATGAGAAGCAGGGAAGAGCCTGCCTGGGGTTTGCAAAAAAACAATTATATATATATACAGATGCACACCCATAAATTGAGAAAGGAGTGAATATATATATATATATATATATACTAATACAATTACTCAACAGAAATTCAGGTGCGTTTCCTTTGTAAAGGACATAATGACAGCGCCCCCTAGGTGTAGGTTATATACCAGTGACTACTGTGGCCCTCCTTAGGTCTGTCAGCAGGAGGACTTGCAGATCTGTGCATGAATGGTTCAGCATCTGGGAATGAAAGGGTAGCAGGAAGGGAGCGTAAGTGCTCGGCGATACAGCCAAAAAAGAAATCTCACGTCAATGATTCATTTAAAAGCTGAATAATTTAAAGGCATGACAAAACAGCCCCCCCAGCCGCGGCTAGGCCCGGATCCGTCTAAGAGCGACGGGACGTGGTGACGTACACATGCCGGGACCTCAGCTGACCCTTCTCGTTCACCAGGGAGAACAAGAAAACCGTGAGCGTTGCTGCCCAGAGCGGCCATCCCAGAAACGGGGGCAAAAAGCAGGAGAAGCTGTTGCCTGCAAAGAGATGCGAGTGTACAGACACTTAGCTTCCAAGGTGCTAATTAGTTGGCACACAATGAGGCCTTTCTCTATTTCCTGCTGCAATGTTTCTTTATTTGTTTACTATTATTAATGCCTCCCAGCAAAATGCAGTGAGTTTCAAGAACAATCACAGTGGTGCAGTGGGAGGGGCTCCTATTTCTAGGAGGTGCCATGTGGGATACCCGCGGCAACCCCCCTTTATTGGTCACCTGGTCACGGGAAAACATGTGACCCAAGATGGTGTCCCAAAAAGGGCTCAGCAGTAGCTTTTCATCACCACTTCACCTGGCCTACAGCTCTATACTATAAGCCAACTGCTATCCTTCAAGCAGTTCAAGCAGTGTAGCAATTGAATGGAGATTCACACCGAGTAGTGTAGCAATCGAATGGAGATTCATACTGCAGTAGTGTAGCAATTGAATGGAGTCACACTGAGTAGANGGCGGAGGGTGAGCTGCATGTCAGGACGGGTGTCAGAGAGCCGTACGGCACTTCACTGCATCTGAAGGAGGGCGGAGGGTGAGCTGCATGTCAGGCCGGGTGTCAGAGAGCTGTACGGCACGTCACTGCATCTGAAGGAGGGCGGAGGGTGAGCTGCATGTCAGGACGGGTGTCAGAGAGCTGTACGGCACTTCACTGCATCTGAAGTGCACATCTTTGCTGAGACCTGTGTGAATGTGCTCAGCACAGGGCAAACCCACCAAGTCACCCTCTGCTACCATGAAATACTATCAGCATTAGTGTGTTAAATGACGTTTCACGCATTGGCATGCTTTTGGTCTTTTATAAAGGGTTTGACTTCGGTGATACATCACCCACTACAGAACTTGCATGCAAACAAACAAACCCTTTCCTCCCAAATTCTTTTCTTTACTTTCTCCTAATCTACCACAGACCAGGTAGAATACATGTACATCTAAATCAACAATGTAACAATACAGGAACACTGAGACTTTTGGCAGTGATGACAGGACTTTGAACAACCCAGCGATTGGGATCGACTGTGAACTTTCAGCCGCTGCCTGATTGAACCCAACATGAACCAACAAAGTCACCCATGTTAGACCCACTGTTAGACCAGTGAGCTCTAGTAAAATTTTAATGCTTATATGGACGAAAGGGATTAAATACCACCAAACACAAAACTAATGACAGAAAGCAGGGAATGTACAAACAAAAAAAGATAACGTTAGGGACAGCTGTGTAAATCGAGTCGAGCGTGGGGCATACCAATGGGTTACAGCTTTTAACAAGGCAGAATTGAATTATGGGAAGTATTAATAGGACCAGACACAATCGCCAGCCCTGTCAACACACGGCGGTGGCGGATTAAGGGCTTCAAACGTCTGGTCCTCTCTAACATCACCCACTAATCTCTGATGTCATTATAGGAGCGAAACTGAGAAGCTTTAGTACAGACAGCCAGCAGACTTTCTCATAGATCACCCACAACACAGACCCCCCTCTATGCTAAGCAGACTGGGTGGTCTTTTCCCAATCACACCCAGAGAGGCCAGTGACCAAGGCCACCCAACGCAGATGTGGGGAGACAACGGCAGTATGTAAAGAAGGCAGTGTCTCAAACCGAAAAAAAAAGCCCCCAAAATTGTTTCCCACCACATCACTCTGGTTGAACACGGTTACTGGTGAGGACAGGTCAGTAGAAGGAGGTTGGTGGGGGTGGGGGACTTCAGATGGTGGACTGAACCATCTGAACGACGGGGGTGGAAAAGCTATTTTCATTATACTATGACCGTGACAAATAGAACAATAAAACCATAGTTTTTCTTTTATTTGGCCTGTGCATCTTAGTATAGTCACTGCCTCAGATATTGTACCTTCATCCAGTGTGTCTTACACTGCCTTCCTCCGTGACATAAAACAAAAAACCCACTATTCAGCGCAAACGATCACCTATTTACACTGCTGATGCGTAAAACAACACAAGTACTGTACAACCCGGTTATATTGTTGCCAGAACACTCACCGAGTCACAAACATGTGAAGTGTGCCTTAACATTTCCATATTCTCTTGTAAGACCTGGCTGCTGATTTATCACTAATTCAAGGGTACAGTCACGCCTGCGTATTCACAGATAAACCCCAAACCAATAGACGCACACAGTGGAGTCGTGCCACACAGATCATGCATTACCTTCATTAAGCGCTTCATGGAATAATCTCTCTTACACACACACACACACACACACACACACACGTACACACGCTCGCACCCACAGCAGTCAGCTTGAAAGACAACCTTCCGCGTCCACTGTGAAACTGATGAACATACCACACACAGGGACAGAAATACGCAAAGACAGACACACTTCCTATTCTCCCCGAGCCCTCGGTTCCATACATGTAAAGTGGCGCCCCCCCCCCTGCCTCCACCTTTCTCCCCCCCCGCCCGTGAGGCTCTGAGGCTGCACATGCTGACATCAGCAAGCAACACCGCAGCAGCGGCACACCGCCTCCCCGCCATGGCTGCAGGAAGCAGCGCAGCGCAGCGCGTCGCCAGAGCCCCGCTCGCGCCACTCCGTAAGCCGAAGTGCACCAGCATGCGGAGATACTGTGTCATTTCAAACAGGCGTGTAAACAGCCTAATCGTGATCGATTCTGTCTAATCAATGAAAAAGGGACGTGGTATAAGCAGTCATACCTACGACTTTATAATAAACGGTGTACTAACCGCGTATTAGAGCTTTATTACAAAACACGAGCATAGAGATTTCCAGACACCTCTTTGTGGGGTCATGCCATGTAATTAATCTAATTCAATCACAAAACAGATCCTGTGCGTTTTTACTCACATCACCTACCAAGCCAAGCTGACAGACCTGCGCATAAAATAACGACTATTATCTTTATTATTATAGACTAAATCAAAATCAAACAAGATGACGGAGTCGTGGAAGCTAATGATCAAATGGTCACTAAGTGCATTAACAGCATCAACACCTTGCCGATACAGCCCGGAGTATCCCCGCCCACCCATCTATCCGCATTTACACTGGACCTCATAACACCATACCTTCACTCCGGAAAACCCAGTGTCTTTAAAAGGATATGGCCATTCGGTGATCTTTTTGGCGTATTTTCTCACGAAGTTGTCCTCACTAAAGATGAACAGGGACCGGTTGACTGTGAAACAGTTCTGGCGCACCGGTATCGGGTTGTAAAGGGCCATGGTTCGGGCTCGCTGGGCCATCGATTGCTTGTACATCCTTTGGGCTCCCGGCGGGCCACCTTGCCTACTGCCGCCGCGGCCGGGACCCCCCTGGCCAGGTCCTCCGCCATACCTGGACGGCACCTCATCTCCAAACCGCGCCATTCTCTAGTCACCAAACGCCAGTCGTGTCGAAGCAGCAGAGAAGGTAGCGAGTAGTCAACGCAGCCACACCACATTACATCCCATCTGCTTCAGGACTAAATAAGCATGCAACTGATATGATCTTCGGTTCCGTCTTTGCCAGAAAAACAGTAAGAACGACGGACGCCCATGGAGAGAATATCCGCAAATATTTATGAAATCGGGCAAGTATGGGTGTGAAAAAGGGAACGTGTGGCGAGCTGGCTGCTTGTCCACCTATTACCGTAGTACGGTCCTTCTCCGGCTCGGTTTTATGTTAAAAAAACTAGCATAAACATATTCTAAAAATACACTAATAAAAATGTTCTAGTTGGTCCAAATGGTCTCCAGATCCACGATATTGGGAATTTTGAATCATTTCAATCGGGCAAGTTGGATTCAAATACAGCACTGAGAGGTTCAAACAGCAATGGTTATCATAACTGTATAAATTATGAATATGATGCCAAAGCAGTGATTAACTAAATCATACGCTGAAAAATAAAAATAAGGATCCAAGTCCACGGGATTTTTTCAGCTGGGCATCTTGTCTATGGTTGCGGCAGCGCTCGGATTTTTTTACACAAAAAAGGAAAAGGGGGGACATGAGTTATTTATTTATTTCTGAAGCATCCGCAATGTTTGATACAGTGCACTCATATTCTGCCTACCGCTGCCGCACACTCGGGTTACACACATGCAGCCTTCCGACGATCATGGATCTTCGTGCCAGTCGGCGATACTCCTTTTCCCCCGTTGTTTTCCCCCTGGATTGTTCCCCTTTTTAAACAAAGACGTAATCTTGCCAAAAATGTTCAAATTCTGGCTTACTTGTTTTCAGATATAAAACGACATCCCCTGTGCAACGCTCATCATCTGCACTCCAATGTTAGTACGGCAATCCACGCGCATCCAAATCCAAAGCGGGAGCAGACGGACTTAAATCGGAGCATGATCATCCTTCGCAGACGGCAGCAGCCGCCCGGCTCTCTCACCAGCTCTCACGGTCTCCGCCACCAGTCTGGTCGCAGTGGAGGGACCGCAAACCATCCCCGCCCCAAAGAATCTCCCCGGTTCGTAAAACCGTCCTGCACGCTGCGATCAGACTTTGCTCAGCTTTGCTACGTGCAGTCCGGCGACCCGGGCGGGGTGGGGGGCAGCTGATGCTCTAGAAAAGCTGCCTTCTAAAACAAAACGACGAAGGTGGTGAGAGCCTCCGATCAGCTGGCAGGTCGAGCTATAATGAGCATCTGATCAATTCAGCGCTGCCGAAGCGCCGTCCTGAAATCTTCGGCCAGCCCTTTGCAGCACATGACGCGCACATCCTCCTCTCATTCGCTTTTCGCTTTCTCTCTCCAACTCTGCCTAGCCGATCTTGGCTCGATCGCTCCATCGGGGGCCAGCGACATCGTTCTGACTATACGAACGGGAAACGAAATGTTTCATTATTCTACTATCTGTTGTAGCACTGCCAAGCACATTATATTATCCCTATACATATATCGCATTAACAGTTTTAAGTAAAAAAAAATAAAATCAAAAAGAGGGTGGGGTGCGACTGTGATTGTACGTTGAAATCGGCGCTGTCATTTAAAATCGGAGTAATTGGTGTGATTGTCCTTACATGCTTTTACTGGAGTGAATAAGGCACGACGAGAAGCAAGTGCTCGCACAGACGCGGGAGTGGAAGCGAATCTCTGTGGACCTGCGCTGCTTTGCGGGGAGACGCGGCGTGGAGAGCCACAGACTATTCTTAGCAGGGGACATCTGAAAATTAAAGGACATAATCTTATAAGCTCCCTTGACATTACCATCCTTCACCTCTCACGTGTCTTTCGGTGGTTTTGAGCACAGGTATGGCGTTAAATATAGATTACCGCATTATAAAATTCATATATTTGTTTTTTTTAGCACTTCATTAAGTTACATGGAAAATTTACGGAGTTGGAGCTACACAATTAAATTACTAAATAAATTTGCCATATCTGTGCTGATTTCGGTAATCGACTTCACGGAGCCACTTTGCAAAAAAAAAGTAATTTGAAATGAATAATTTAGAGATAAGGTGACGTTTCTTTTCAATTTTGAAATTCATTGCGCACTAATATAATAAGCATTCGTCAGATTTGCGATAGTCCATTTTTTACCCCCTGAAACATAATTATGTGTCATAGAAACCAAGACGATAAACTATGACCCGTCTACCTTTCTGGCTGTATTTGTAAATACTACAAAACAGAAACAAACACAACAACGTCAATTCCAATTCAGACAAAGGCCGAATAGCCGTGAACCACCTAAATGGGCATAAAACGTCACATTTTTAGACACGTATGGTTCATTATGATCACGATATCTACGGAATTCCCAATCTCAACATTTGAGGAAGAAACATTTCTAAGATTGCCTATTTATCATGCCATTGCATAAATCCCGTCAATAGTCAATATGATGCACGCTGTGTTTTAACTGCAAGTAAGAAATGATCGATTTAGTCAACTGAACACACAAAGCATTTCAATCCTGACTGCACGTACTGTTTCTTCAGAAACAGATCTACACCATGCATTTGTCCTTAATCACCCTTAACCATTTACCAATTGGGTCAAAAAAAAAAAAAAACTGGCCAAGCGTTTCCTCTGTGTTTCGCATTAAACGAGCAGGATGCGGAGGAATCGCCCAAACCCGCCCCGGAGTGAGATCAGCCGTGACGGGTGATCCCAAGGTCAGGGCGCCTTTCTCAAGGAGCCCCGACCAGGAAGGGCAACCGGCTGGAGCGTCACGTCGTCGTTTCACAGAATTCACGGAAATATACGCCTGCAAATAGAGAGAGATCTACAATATCAAAACACATACTTCAACATTGTATAGACGCATAACTCAAACTTAAAAGTAATTTACATTTTTTTATATGGTCACCTTTAGGGGAGACCGGGTATGGTTGTAACACATTTTGCTTTACCACCTATAACTCACTGAATTTTTGAGCTAGAGTTTTGAAACTTTTATATACAGTAGCCACATTTGCTTGCTACAAACTGCACCAAGTCAAACCTCTGCAAGAATATCACAGACATTGTGAGTTCATGACAAATACATGGTGCTCCTTTGTTACAACCTGCCCCACTACCGGGGTAGGATGTAACACATGCTGTGGTAAGCTACACTGGGAAGATCACTGGACCTCTGGTCTCTCAGCTTCTGCAGTGATTTGCAGTATCTGCTCACTGTGCTCAGTGTTACATGGCAGATCCCATGTGCCTTCGCAGCTGACCTGACTGACTTGCCCTTCCTCGTGACCTCATCAGATGCTTTTTTTAAAACACTGGCAGACACACCTCTTTCAGTCTTTCTTTTTCACTGTCTAGACATTCTGTAAAATTATTAAAATCAAGAAAGTGTCCTTAGTTGTACTTAAGGGGATGGTTGTCACACTTTTTAAAGATGTGTTACAACCCACCCCACCCCTCTTAGCTATTGTTTAACTAGCTGTAATAGGATAGTGGTTTGAAATTAGCAGGGGAAAAATACATCACAGTTTACCTGATAAACTACAATTTAATCTTATTTAAGTCATATGATTTTATCTGCAATAGTATAAATGCTAAACAAAATATAGTCTTGGTTAAAAAAACTACTTTCTTACCTCAAAATCTGTTTTTTATTTGTAAAATCTGCATGTACCTGTTTCCAGCCTTGATATCCATCATGTGGGTTTAGGGAGGGAGTATGTAAACACTGAAATGATCACATAACTCTCATCCTATTCCTGATTGCTGGAATTGGTGGTGTTACGACTCTCCCCATGTTACAACCATACCCGGTCTCCCCTACTAATTGATAACTGGGTTAACAATAAGGCGAGATGATCAATACTACACTATAGCCTCTGTGTGCAGCAGTTCAGCTGTCAGAAATTGATTCATTTTGATACATTTAATCTGGAGTTGACACAACAATAGGACTGATTCTAATCAGAGAAAAACAAATGAACAAAGACAAAAAGTATCTCTTTTTTAAACTGCCTTATTATTACCCCCTGAAATCTTTCGCTTGATGCCGAAACGTGCATCTTTCTGGAAAGAGAAACATGGTCTCGAATAGTGTTTTTGGGGTCGTTATACATTTGAATTGAAAGCCGTTCGAAAACCGAAACTGCAAGACCCTTCTTTCCCGTTACCTTCTTCGGAGAAGCATTTTTGACGCCTGTTTCATCACAGCTGTATCGTAGAGATAGTTTGTCTGGCTGCGGGATGAAGTCAACATGTTTGCAGGAGGTGATGAGAGACAGAGGGAGGCTTCGGTATCCGAGAACTTCGCTCATCTGGATGGAAAGGAGAGACTGCACGTTTTCACTCCTAAGATCGAACAACCTTTTGACTTCTACGTAACCTTTGACAATGAACGAAAACTCAGCATCAATCCCGTTAAATTTAAATTATGAAGTGTATTTTCAGTTTATAAATAAACAAGCGAAACTAGTAAAGAGACGTGCTAATGCGATATTATCAACTTTAGTCTGTTACTTACCGATCCGACGCAAAATACTAGGGTTTTAAAGTACCGTACCGGTCAAACTCGTGACAGCAAGTAAAAGAAGAACGTGACGGAAGAAAAGAGTGAATCCATATAGCCAACTACTGTTACATTAATGGCAGACTAACGTGTTTTTTCCCTAACCCGACATATATTAACATTTCTCCCTAAATGTCACACAATGTGATCACTGTAAAAACTATCAGAACAAGGGTGGAGATGAAGGAAAACTGAGAGCGATTCGGGATGAAATGGACGGACAGGTCAAGGTTCCACAGGCAGGCAGCCGGCGAGGACCATTTCTGGGATCATCTCCAGCAGATTGGGCTGAACTTCTAAGGAAATACCTTCCGTGTTTAATGAATAGAGCGCCCAGAATGTGTTCAGCTATAATATAACTGTAAAAGTTGGCTATTTCAGCGAGTCTAAAATTTGATCTGCTTTTATTACGTAGGTGGTGTTTGTAATTTATTTAGTCTTTTCTGTAGTTTATATTCCTTTTCAACGTGGTACTGATGTTTAAATTGTAATAAAATAAGAAACTCCAGACTTTCCATGGCTTTTTACTGTTGGTGTATACTGAGTTTTCGAACATTTGTGTTTTTATTCATTCCATCCATCCATCCATCCATCCATTCCATTCATTTAATTGCTAAATGCTGCTGCTGTTCATTCCAGTCTGTTTCCCTAGCTCAGTTATTCCAATTAGTGGTTAATCACCCGTATCGCTTATCCCATGTCCTCGAACAAACATCTGTATTAGAATTTCCTGAAAGTGTCATAAAAGCTCAAAAAAAAAAAAATCGTAAATATTTTAAACAGCCAAAAATATCAGGGATGCGGACCTGACATAGTTTGACACCCAAAATCTGAGCAGAACCAGTGTGCTGCAAGGAAGCAGCCGCTGTAGAGCGCGTATCATGTGCCCTGCTCCAGCCAATCAGCTGCAGCTTGAGTCGTGGGGGGGGGGGGAGTTACAGAGACTGGCCCTCAGCTGCTGGGCCTCTGCTCACGGCCACAGCCCCCTGGCACCCTGCGGGAAGCGCGCAGTGCCAGCGCCCCAAGGACACACCACCTCTCCATGCGACGTGGCTCACTTCCCTCTCGCTCAGCTTCAAACACGCTTCACATGCCCTGTTGCCATCCTGTACACCGCGAGGAGATGGCAGACGTGTCAAAAAGAAGAACAGCGAGGGCAATGAAGATGTCTCATTGAAGATGTCATATGCATCTCACTTAACGGCAGATGCATGATGAAGAAGACATCACTCATCACTTATGCATTTTAACAGTATTTAAAACAAAAATATTACTCAGCCTATTCAGCAGTCAGGGATTTGCGTGATTATGCATGTAGTGGATACACACACTGTATTGTTACTGTCATAGAAGAGCGTGTTGCTTTTGCTTATCCACAACTGGCTGTGTGAATATATCCGCGGACCTTAGTGTTCTGGTCCCGGCCTCATGGCACTGCCGAAAGCAGACCTTCCTCATCCGTGAGCCGCATCTGCAAGTTGCCAGGAAGGAGCGAGCGCCGTATAGCCTGAGGAGTGAGAAGGAGGGCGAGGAGGAGAGGAGAGAGGTGGGGGGCGAGCGGAGGGGGGGAGGGGTGACCGGCGAGTGCGGGGAGGTGGGAAGGAGAAGCGGCTCAGCCATTATGGGAACCAATGAGTCAGGCGTATTTAGGACCGACATCACTTCTGATAGATGCTGAGAGCGCAAGATGGAGAGAGAGTTCAGCTGCAGTTACACACACACAATTTACACACACTGGGACTTTTAATGGGGAGAATGGAAGTATTAAGGAAAAGCAGGAGTGTGAGGGGAGGGAAGGGACGAACTGCACAGAGAGGGCAAGTGCAAGCATACGGTGTACCTGCGGGGGGGTG